AACATCTTTCAATCTTCTAGTGCCTAAAGCATAGATAAAACCTTTTCAGCTTTAAAGTATTAAAAAAAAAAAAAAAAAAAAAAAAAAAAAAAAAAAGGAATTAATGCCTTTGGTGAAAATATATATTAAAAACATTAATAATAAAAAGTGTAAAGCTATGATACGTATTTTTCTAAGTGCTTTAGGGAGAGTATTATTCTCATTTGCTTCTTAATTAAAAATGTCTGTATCTTATGTTTCAGTCTCACAGCAGGCAAGGAAGCAAGTGTTAAAAAAAAAAACAGCTATATAGAAACAGTTAATTTGAGCTCTTAGGTAATAATAGCATTATGGAAGGTATATTCATTACATATACAGTACTGGGAAATTATTGCATATGTTAAGGCCACAAAGATGATCAGAGAACTGGAGCGCTTCTCCTGTGAAGACAGACTGAGGGAGTTGGGCTTGTTCATCTTGGAGAAGAGAAGGCTCCAAGGAGAGACCTCATTACAGCCTTCCAGTACTTGAAGGGAAGGGGATAGACTTTTTCCATGGGCGTATAGTGATAGGACAAGGGGGAATGGATTTAAACAGAAAGAGGGGAGATTTAGGTGAGATGTTAGGCAGAAATTCTTTACTCATATGATGGTGAGGCGGTGGACTAGAGAGTGCAGCCTGGGCAGCCTGAGCTGGTCGGGGGCAGCCCTGCCCACAGCAGGGGTTGGCACTGGGTGATCTTTAAGGTAACTTCCAACTTGAGCCATTCTGTGATTGTCTGTTGTTTTCAACTATTTGCAATCTTGTCCTATCTTTTACTCCCTTGTGCAAGTGACTCCACCCTCCACCCCCAGCACTTAACCCTGATAAATTTTTGCTGCATCATTCAGAAGGTTGCTCAGGTCATGTCTGCCACAGGAAAGGAGCTCAGAAGCTAAGGTGCCCCAGAGCAAGGGCAGCCAAGTTCCAGCCTGAGCTGTGTACCCACAGACATGATAGCTTTCCACAGAGAATTCACAGAAACCCTGTGAAACACTTCACTCTTCTGTGCAAGCAGGTGAGGAATCATGAATCTAAATTAGACTGCTTTCCCAATCTGCCTCTGGTGCTGTTACAAGGGAGCCTAAGGTAAGAAAGAAGGACTTTCATCTTTTATTTTGTGTTGCAAAGCTGCTCTGGGACTCGTGGCATCATAACGCTAACGTAGTTCAGCAGTAAACACCTCTTCCCCAGACAGCAAAATGCAAAGCAGTGACAGGTCTTTTAAAAGAGCAGACTTGAAGCACGGTAGACGTCAGTGAATAAATACAGAAGCACCTGATGTAACAGCAGTGGAAGGCTTAATTCTAGCTGCTGCAGAACAAACAGTGTCACCAGGAGGCAGTGAGCTCAGAGCCAATTGGAAGCCCCCCTCACCTCGTTCTTCCTCCACCTCAGGGCAGCCTGGGGCACGGGGCTGGCAGGGGCACAGGCAGCAGCTCCTGGGCCACCATCACCCAGAGCTCTGCTGTTTTCATGTACATCCAAGCTGCTGGCGGGGCAGTGATGTCCAGTTGGCTGGGGCACGGCCAAACTGTGTGCTCTTCTGGCGCATCCTACCTTCCCATGCTGTCCTGGGACCACAGTGCCAAGGCTGATGGACTTTACATAAACTGCAGTCAGCAGTGGTTTATAGTGGTTATACTCTGAACTGTAAACTCAGATGGCTCAGGAGGAGATGCACGGTTGTTCCGCTTTTCTGCAGAGGAAGTTATGACCCATGGTACAGGCAGAACATGGAGAGGAACTTATATCTGCTTAATCACCCCAGCATAACGCTGCACAGCTTTTGTGGAGGGAGAACAGATTCGAAGTGTGGTTATCTCAAAAATATGGCAGCAATTAACAGAGAAAAGAAAAAAGCACTAGCATACATGCCCATAATTTTTATGCTTTGAAGAATAGCTAGAGATCTCTGCATCCATCTTGGCCTGTGTTTCAGTTGCCTGAACAATTTAGCAATTTGTACCTGCTGTGGCAGACTTTTAAAAGACTTGCTTATATTTTCTTTTGATTTAAGTTATTCTCTCTAGACCTAGTCTTTTCCTATAAAATCAGCTTGTTTTTGTTACCTTCACTGCTCTGTGTCTGACAGAACAAAATAGTAGTAACTAGTACTGAATTTTTCTGAAGATGGGTTTTTGCAGTTTGATTGCAGTTTGGGTGATAACTCTTTCTTGAAATGAGAGTGAAATTGGAATGTGTGGCCTTGGAGTCCCAGAAAAGACTGGTATTGATTCTAGAATCAGTCATCACTGTGAATCTGAATGAGTGATCGCTCAAGTAATGTCTGCTCCCTCTGCAAGTTACCTGATAACAGGCTGCAGCACCCTCCTGCCCTGTGTCTGTAGTGTGCTGCAGGCAAGGAAGAGTGTTATTTAAAGCTAGAGGTTGCTTGACACAAAAAGGACTTTCATCCTCCAGAGTCAGTATGTTTGTAGGCATGCTGCAGAACAGTCAGTTTATACCAGGGTTATTCAGGTGCCATTTGCTACCTAAGCATATCAGAGCTTCGTATAAGTAGAGCAGGCCAGTGACAGCTGTGTTTCAGTTTACCAGAGGATCTCCAATCCAAAATTATTGTTTTCCTATGACTTCATCAATTTTTCTTTTTCCTGGATTGATCTCAGACGGAGGGATTGCACTGTAATAGGGAGGGGTAAATGAAGATTGAAGGCCATTACTACAATTGCTTCTTAAAGTTCGTGCTAGCATTTAATTACAGCCTGCCTGGTGTAAGAAATATTATCCCTTAATCTAAGGTATCTTTTGACCAAAACTTGGCAGGAAGTTTTCATATGCTGTTTCTTGACATGCTTATGAGCGAATGACAAGTTCTTGCATAGGATTAAGACTGTACATTAAAGTTTTTTATATGAAAATACTGTGTGATGCATCTCTTTTTTCTGTATATGAGTGCGAGAAAGAAGATACTATTGCATGTCTCAATATTGGGCACTGTGTCATGTGCTCACTCTGAAGTGGAAAGCTTGGTGAACATTTATTGCTTAGATGTGGGATGATTTTGTATAAGGAATGCTACATTCCGAAGAACCAGTTCAAATGTATGTATGTGAAGGTAAAAAGTGGTAGTAGCTCTCCAGAAGAAAGAAACTTCCCTGGACATTTCCTAGGTCATCCTTTTTCCATTCTGTATGCTGGTGAATATTAAGTAATGTCACCCCAAGCTTCTGTGCGCTGTAGAAATGCTGGCAGTGCATGATTATCACAGTATTTGAACATTTGGAAGAGAATGGTCTTTTCTTCCAGCTTGTGTTGGTGAGCGTGATTTGTCCCACAGGAAAGGGTTGCTCTTGTTGTTAGAGACAACAGCTATGTCAGGAGGGACAAGAGCCCTGTAGGTGGACAGTATTAAATGGCTTAAGCCTGGCTTAGTCAGGCTTCTTCAGGGCACAGATAGTGAGTTGTGTGAAAGATGCATCTTGGATGTTCTGGTCATGTCCTGACTTCATTCAGGTGCTCCTTCTTTTTGGACTGTGGTGAGGGCTCAGCATACAGGTTAACACAAAGCATTCCTGGGAAGCAGAGACATGGGCAGACAGTGTTGCACCTTCAGTGCTCTCCCAAGGAAATACTCTACTGCAAGTACTCTCAGGGAGTAAATGAAACCCTGCAGGCCATAGCAACGTGGAGTTTTATTGAGTAATGCTTCCCCTGTTAAATTCTTTCATTTCCTGGCATTCTGCTGCTTGGGGCCTTCAAGAGTTGGAGGTCATGTGCACTTCTTCACATCTAAATAAATCTTTCTTCTGTCATTATTTTCTGACTCCTTTTTTAACTCATTTATATGTTTGGCCTCTACGTCAGCCTATGGCGATGAGTTCAATAATGTAATTATGTACTGTGTGGAATATAATTTCCTTCTGCTGCTTTTAAGACTTGTCTGCTTGCTCCTCCATGTCCTTGCAAGGAATCTTGAATTGGATGCTTATCCTTTAGGCTGTCTAGATCTCTGCCATATTCCCTCTTCAGTCATACACTTTCAGGAAGGAGGCTCCAGGTGGGCTTCAGTTGCTTGAACCATGATCTCTGTCATTTGAGATGTTTCAAGGGTGTTTCAGACAGTGGTAGAGGGCTGCCAAACTGCCACAGGGCTTAGAGGAGACCCAACATTTCCTGAACAGTGGCCAGAGACCAACAGGGAGTGCCAGGTGCCTAATCTGACAACAGGTTGGCATTTTAATCCCCCTACCTTCACATCTGTTTAGTCTCTAATTTTGTTGAAGCAATTTATTACTGCTGGTCAGCACTGTGACCTTTAACTTTCCCTTGGTGAAATGAGCGTGAGAAGAAGTTACAGATTCTGTCTTGAGAACCTGCAGTCTGCATTTATTTGTCACTTCTGTGTGGGAGGCCTGTATGTAGTTACTTGATAACTGGGCGTCTTAGTACTGCTGGACTGCTGTCTGAAGGGCAGAGGACATTACAGGAACGATTACTGAAGAGACTGAGTAAACCGCGGCCATTTACTTTGTTCCAGCTATCAGTGCAGCCATCCTGCTGGGACTCCTTGCCTTTAGTGAAGTAGTTAATTACTGCTGATCTGTTTTCTATTTTTCTCCTCGATAGAACTTTGAACGCTCAAACACTTGCGCCACCAGTTGGAAGGATTTCGGTGATATTGTTGGATGTAATGACGGCTTTTGGTGAACGTTTGTTATGATGCGGTTTCCTCACTACTGGGGATTTTTGTTGGAACGCAGACACGCTGGCTTATTGTCAATGTAGCTTACACTAGCTGTTCCAGCCAGAGCTGCTGTTAAGTGTTTCAGGAAATTGGCAGCTTTTGCTTATGATGACATATGCTCATACAGGAGACTTTTGGAAACAGTACTCTGTAGCGTACTGCGCTGGGGATGCCGGTGAGCCGTTCCTGGAGAGTGACACATCTTGTACTTGGCCTTTTCCACGAGATGTTCCTGTCTCATTTTAACGTCCTCTTCTTTGCCTTTCTTTTCTAGGCCACAATGTAGGGAGCCTGTTCCACATGGCAGATGACTTGGGAAGAGCGATGGAAACCTTAGTGACGGTGATGACTGACGACAAGGTGTTAGAATAGCAAGATGTGTTTTACAACTTCAGGCGTCCCGCATGGTTTTTATAATATTCATACTACAAAGAGGATTAGACTGTAAGAGTTTACAAGAAAACAAATCTATATTTTTGTGAAGGGTAGTGGTACTATACTGTAGATTTCAGTAGTTTCCTAAGTCTGTTTCTGTTTTGTTAACAATGGCAGGTTTTACACGTCTATGCAATTGTACAAAAATTATAAGAAAACTACATGTAAAATCTTGATAGCTGAATAACTTGCCATTTCTTTATATGGAACGCATTTCGGGTTGTTTAAAAAAAAAAAAATTTATAACAGTTATAAAGAAAGATTGTAAACTAAAGTGTGCTTTATAAAAATAATTGTTTATAGAAACCCCCTTTAAAAAAAATACAAAAAAAAAAACCTGAGGCAGTGCATTTGTTCAGTATCATTTCAGCTCTGCAGCTGCATCAGAGAGAGATTCATGTTCTGTGTTCTTTTCCTGGCCTGTCAAAGAGGAGAGAAAGAAAAAAGCATTTCCTGCAGCGACACCAAAACGGCCAACTTAACATTTCTCATTGGTTTTGTCTGAGTAGGGCTGGCTTTAAAAAAAAACTCCTGGACTTCCAGTGAAGATAGATAGTTATTTCACTTCTTTCCAATAAAATTAATAACTTCATGAATCACACTAGTTGGCAATAATTAAATGAAAGAGCACATGACATGACAGAGCCTGCAAAAAATTAATGAGAAGAAAAAAAAGAAGAAAGAAGGAAAGAGTTTAATGATGTCCAATACGCCAGCATTTCCTCTGCTGACTAAATCCCTGAATGTCCTTAGTGAAGGAACGTAGAATTGCCTTACCGGATGAAACCTTTGGACCTTACTGTCCGGTACTCTGCTGGCTGCAGCCAGCGCCCAGAGCTTTGGCAGGAGCTGCGTGTGGCTTTCCCTGCCCGCTGCCACTGTTAGCATCACCTCGCTGCACACGAGAGAAGAAAGGGAGAAGTTCCCTCCTGACCCCACGTGGGATCAGCTTCTGACATGAAGCACAAGTGGGTTACTCACAGAGCACCTTTGCTTGTATGGCTTCCAACACTGTTAACGAACGTAGAGCTACTTGATCCTCTGGAAAATAAAACCAGACCTTTCCACAATGTCTGTCTCAGCCTGCTAGAGCAGCTGGTCCCAAGGAGCTGTAATGCAGCAAGCAACCTTTGAGGAAGGCTGTAGAATTACTGCTGTTCTTGTATGTGTATGGTGATCAGGTGAAGGTAGCCACACTGCTCCCCGAGATATTTATCTTCAAAACAAAGGCCCTGATGCTTTCTCCTTCCCCATTTCTCTCTACAAGTAACACCGCACAATTAACAATAAAGTGAGAAAGAGAGGAACTGATAGAAAAACAGATTAGCCAACGTAACTGCAGCTCTTGAGAGGTAGGTTTGGGTATGAGGTGCTGTCAGCAAAAGCTTTACCACTTCATTATCTTAACCAGCTTTTAATTTTCTCTTAGATACATAGAAACACACCGTCTGACTTTATATTGCAAAGTACAAATCTGTTACCTCTTGTATGAAGTGTAATTGAATTTGGGAAAGATTTTATTTTGAATGCTAGTTAACATTGAACATGGCTAGTCATGCTATTTCTACCTCACTTTGGTTTTGTGGTGTTCCTGACAATTACGTACAGATATGTTACATCATCACCACTCGTCCATTGTGTGAACGGGTCTCATCATTTAAGTAAGAATGCCAATAATTCACAAAGAATTAAGTACAATCCCCCCAAACCTCTGCTTTCATAATAAAGAGCTTTATTTAACACTTTACTGCGGTTGGAACCCCATGTAATTCTCGTCGTCTTCTTTACCAGAAGGTTTGGTCTGAGATCTGGGAAAGAGATGGGTTTCTTCTCGTTTTTTTCCCCCTTATGCCCACCCTTAAACCTTCTCTTCAGAAAACAAAAGGAGGAAAATGGATTGCACGGTTGTTTTCATCAGGGTTTTGTTTTGTTTGTTTTACTTTCTAGGTCTTAGTTTTGGAGTGAGTCTGTCAAAAATATTTAAAAAGTTGAAAGCTTTATCACTGCTTTTTGAAGCATAATTTGGGAATTGTTTCATATTCCTTATAACGACAAAGTATTAAACTGTAAAACATAATCAGTGTAATTGAATACATAAATACCATATGGCATGTTATTTCATTGTTACTCAGTACTGGTTTATTACTTGGATATCATAATATATTGTGTTCTAACACCAACACTGTAACATTTACTAATTATTTTTATAAACTTCTGTTTTACTGCATTTTTCACAACATATCAGATTTCACCAAATATATGCCTTACTATTGTACTATATACTGCTTTACTGTGTATATCAATAAAGCACGCAATTATGTTATAAAAGGTCTGATGTTTCTGTTGAGGTTCTCCCAGTGCCCAGCTGGTGCCTCCCCTCTGCAGTGGTGCCACCACTGTGCTGCCAGCTCCCAAATCCCCTTCTGACCGCCATCTCTGTGCTGTGGGCAGCACTTGAGGTTTGCTTGGCAGGGGGCAAGAGGCTCTTCTGGCTTTGGTTTTTCTCCCTGTTAATATTTTGGGCCATGTGAAGCACGCAAGCTGTTCTAGGGGAGCGGCACGTTTTGCTTCAGAGGGGGGGATGAAATTCTGTCCAATACGTCGACAGTTTGGTACTGTGAAGCAGAAGCAAAGCTGAGGTTTGGTCATTTGTCTGACATGCACCAACTCCTCTTCCGCAGGGCTTTGGGAGGGGGTGTTCCCATCAGAGAGGCTGATCATGTATGTCCTGTCTCATATCTAAGAAATACACATAGGTTTTATTATTTGGACTCCTCTCAGTTGTACCGTGAGTGTGTCTTTGAGCTCTCCCTTTCAGAAGTAATACAGTCGAAAGCAAAAAGCCAAAAAAAAGCACATATCTTTGTGCATGTTTTTAATAAAACTGCAAAGGAGGAGGTAGGAATTCCCTCATGTCATTAATCTGAGGAAATAAATATGCATCCCACAGCTCTCTCAGATCTGAGTTAACTCTTGATCCACTCCTACACACACATGAACTGGGGAGTGCCGTGCTGTACCGGAGCCTCCTCTGAATGTCATGCAATCCACAGCACACAGAAGCCCTCAGTGACAAAGCGTCTCCTCAATGATGAGACATCTCCTGCTTAATGTAGTTAAGGAAAGGGGGGGGAGGTGGTTTTCTCCCTGCCAGTCGTTCTGAGGTTGGTTGCACATGAGGAGGTGCCAGAGGGTTGTAAGCTCACCCATGAGCCTAATGGGTAAGGTTTGTCTTACTAAATATCTAAATGAACTGGAAAGTTACAACAGGGTGTGAGTGAGAAAGAAGTGGCACTCTGCCTCAGCAGCAGAAGCAGGGAAAGCAGAGCCACAAGGGCCTGCATCAATGCACCCTTGCTGAGCCACCGCTGCTGCAGGCACCTGCAGGCCCCACTGCTGCAGACAGAACGCGGCCAGATGCAACAGGCCTGGCCGTGTGCAGAGGCTGGAATGGGCTAACAGAGTGGCTGCTGCTGTCAGTGCTGCGGCTCTTCAAGGCATTGCAGTGCGTGCAGCCTGCCTGCCATCTGTATTGAACTCCCCACTCCCACAACCCCGTTATCTGTAAATCCCAACATCCCAGTAATAAAACCTGGCATTTCTGAGTGCCTCTTATCATCATTCTCCTTAGGTATTTTTAGGCTAAAGATGCTCATTTTAAGTTAACTGTCCAATGCGTTTCCTTTGCTCTCTGGGTAGCAAATATGATGATCGTCCTTTACTTTTGGATGCAGTGGTTAATAAGAGGCCATTCACCAACAAACCTTGTTGTCATTCCCTTACCTTTCAGATGGCAGAAAGAGAGGTGGAGGCCATGCCAGCCAGGTCAAGCAGTCTGACGGGACACCTGGGCAAGGAGAAGCAGCCCCCGGAGTATGGAGGAGGTGGGGTCCCTCAGCCATCCCCACTGAGGCCACCATTTCTTGTACCCTCTATGTACCACAGTCAGGAGCAGTGGTAGTAATTCACTTTCCGGCTGTCAGCTGGCACGCTGAATCCCCATGAGATCTCCCTCCCTGGCACAGAACACTCACATTTCTCTGGGAGCTTGTTTCAGCTCAGAGCAAGCTAGATCAGCTCATTAGGAAGAGCCATAACTGTGAGACAGGTGGGGGTGTCCAGATCAGCTGCGACTGGTGCAGCAATCCCTGTAAACTGATACTTGCCAGCCTTCAGTACATACTTAGTTCTGAAAATCTGGCTGAAAAGTGGTTGTGGCTAAGGGAGGGATGAGATGTAAGGAAATCACAGAGCTGTAAAAGTGAACCATGAGTCTTCACAAATACACCACACTGCTGTTTCAGCCTATTGCCTAAATCCTTACTTCTTGCCAAACCAAGGCTCCCGTGTGTCAGTCATGGGTAACAGCATGACAGGTTAAGGACTTCTTTTCATCGATTGAGCATTACAATGGATACACCGTTTATTTACTTGCCTGCACATGCCTTTTGCAAGCTGTGTCCAAGCAAATCCTCCCTACATAATGGCTTAAGCAATCCACTATGTAATGTTCTTCCTTCTCTCTCTGTCAAAGGAAAATAATCAGAAAATTATGTTAATTCCTTCAGCGTTTCTGTATCTGTTTCCTTCCACATCCTGTACTTGAATCAAAACCAGCAACATAAAGTGCTAAACGAGTCAATTAAATCTCTATGAAACGAGAAGAGTGTTTGGCCCCTGGCACAAACCTGCTCATTTTCTGCATGCCCTTCTGCCGCAGTATTGCTGTCACCATGCCAACTCCTGCCAGCCACTACAGGCCACTCCTCAGCCTTCCTTTGCATACTTGAGAGGACAGAGTTTCTTGCTCCCACACTAACAGGACAAGAGCTCTTTTCTCTTGGAAGCTGAAGAGCAGCAGGGCCTTGAAGTGTTGTGACCAGCTGGGGAGCACTGTAGTAATAAAGCTCCTTGTCCAGTACCAGGCTGGGCGCTAGGGACAGGAATCCTAGAATCATAGAATCACAGAATGGTTTGGGTTGGAAGGAACCTCCAAACTCACTCACCCCAACCCCTGCTGTGGGCAGGGCTGCACCCCACAGGCTGCCCAGGGCCCCATCCAACCTGGCTTTGAGCACCTCCAGGGATGCACAGTGAGACCACAAACATTTTATGGGAATAGCAGTCAAGTGCTGCAGATGTAGAGAGCTTTGCAGAGGTACATGCTTATACACTGGCATTATTAGGACATAAAGTGTGAGGTTAGAATAGCAGCAGTACATTCCACAATAAAATCATAGCTGTTTGATATCTAAAGATTCACAGCTAAGCTTGCACTACATAGAGATGCTCCTACTGATGATCCATGGCAGTGCTAATACATAATCAAAAATATCATTATGAGAGAGTTTTTACTTCTGCAGGAGGATAATTTTTAGTTGTGCTTCATTCACCAGACAAATGGTTTTATTTTAACACTGATAGAGGAGGTACTTCTTTTGCACAGAAGATTAATGGCCATTGCCAGTATCATTCCCCACTGCAACCAGCAGAAAACATCTAGATAAAGGGCTGCAACCAGCTGCAGGTGATAAGGCATGAAACTGCTACTTTTTTTCCCTACCAACCATCAATACAAGCTTGGAAATTCATGGTCCTGAGAAAATATTAGTAGCATGAGAATAAACAGTATCTACATGCATCTATGTAAATATGTGCACGCACAGACAGAGGCTGCTTGCACATGCACACACGCACACACGGAGCCCTTTGCTGTGCTGTGCCTGTTAACTGCTCTGTCAAAAAAAACCCTCAGCCCACCAAGCAAATCTGGAATTGTTTGTGTAGAGATTCCCACTGACACACCTGGCAGAACCGGCCTAGCGCAGCCATCTTGGCAGAAGCTGAAGACATGAGGACACCGCTGAGCTGTGCCTCCACGCCAGGCCCCAGCCCATCCTACTGGGCTCTCTGCCTACTCCTCAGGCACTGAGGAACTCAGCCCTTGGCAGGGCACTGCACAGTGCAGGAGTCGTGACTATGAATTTTATTAGTGGATTTTGTTCGTTCCATGGCTTGCATTTTAAGCCAGGAGTTGCCAGCTTGCCTGGGCTACAACCAGTCTGACGGCAGCCCGTGGGGGCCTCGAGGTCCTCATCCAGTGGTCCCATGGGTGTTTGTGCTCCATGGAGTCAAAGCACTGACTTCACCTGTGGCATTCAGGGACCTGGGCACGGGACATGGATCCCACTTTGCTTCTCGCCTAGGCTGGGCCCTGTCCCTGGCTGTGAGATCTGGGCCGACACAGCCCTCAGAGGCTCCATGATGTGGAGCTGTTGCCATGGGCACCGCAGCAGCAAACAATGATAGCATTGAGGCAGATAAAGGGGAAAAGGGCAAAATAGGGTATCTCTGTCCCACTGCAAATATGGCTTCCAATTAACTGTGGTAATTACCTGTGAAAGAACAACATGGTGATTCCACGGTTTAGAAGGAAGTCCCTTTAACAGCACACTGCAAGAGCCACCCTCTGTTTTGCCTATAGTAAAGAGGCTTTTTTTCTTTCTTACAAGAAAAGAAATCATGGCCATTAAGTAACTCCCATCAGTTATTACTAAGGCAGCTGTTTCATTATGGCATGCACTACTCCATGTTATTTTTTCCAGACTGTTAGCTGTTGTGCTCTGATGGTCTTCCTGCCCATTCCCCCCAGCCCTGATGGAAGTTTTCCATTTCCATGGGTAAGGGGACATTTGCTCAGCCCCAGTGCACTGAGTTTCTCTCCAGCTGGGCTCTGCGAATGACCCAGAGACTTCATTCCTTGCCTAGCATCTGCATGATGGTCTTGCTAGCTGACCCATCCCATTTGTACCAAGTAGTTGAGACCCATTGCCCTGCCACTGCCCCCTTTACAAATGCACTACAGTAGTGCTATCAGCCATGATCTTACCTTTTCTGCACTTTCCTACAGCTTCTCTCCAACAGGTGAGTCACGACTGTGACCTGACCACATGTGCCACTCACACAGAGAGCTGTGTGACTGCTTTATCCATCAAGAACCTATTTGACAGAATAGCCTTCTTTTCTGCCAGGTCAGGCATGTTCAAGAGACACCTTCTTCCTCATCCCTTTTCTTCTGCTCACAGTTGTGTCATTCACAAAAGAAATAGCACAGAAGTGAGCCCTCCCATAGGCACTGCATGCAGGAAAAGGCTCAGTAAAAAATCCTTTGCTTCCATCATTATGCCCCATGCAGTATCCCGGAGTGAAGACTGTCCTCTTGTCCTGGGCTCTTCTGCCCTGGGATGTAAAACTTAAGGACACACTGTGTATGGCTATATACAGGATGCCGATGGGACCTATTGCTTCTACACAAGGTGAAGTTTCTG